GATGGGACGAATAAGAGTTTCTTTTTCACCATCAACAATGCTTTCGTCACATACGTCACTGTGTAGATATAAGTTCTGTCTCGTCTTTGTTCCAGTTGTACTTAACGTTATGTCCATCAACGCTACCTTCCAAGTTCCGTGTAGATTAAGCGGTGTTTGGAAATGGATGCCAAAATGGTAAGGTTTGTTTTTTGGAAAGTATTTCTCACTTCCGTCGCTGTAAATGATCACGTAGTGTGACATCTTTGGCTTTGGTTACGTCTCTGATGTCATTCTCTGCTATCCACTGGTTATATTTAGACGGCCACCCTTCAAATTAACGTTTTTGTAGGCTATACTCGTCCAGACTCTGTATATATCTTCTAATCTTATACAGACCAGGTGAAGTGATCCCACGAGATTGTAGTACTTGATGGACTTTAGTGGGACTCAGAAATGCACCTCCGTTATCGAAATCGTAATATACTTCGTCTACGAGTCGCTTCTCTTCCTCGGTCAACATATTCAATGGGACACAATACTCATATGCAGGCTTTTATTGCAAAGTATAATTACAATGTTTTATGAAACCAGTCTTCTACACGATTCATGGACATCACCATTTCTGATATTCTACTTCGCCATGTCTCTTTTTTGAGTTCGTTAACTCACCATTCAGCATTACACAGTTGTGATATGAAAGCGTTTCTGGCACTTCTCTGGACTTTAAAACGAACAGTCTCTCGAATAAAGTCACGAATCACTCTGATGTCATCTACATGAATAAAGGCATTTTCAATGTTACATTGTCTTTCACTCATTATTTCCTGGATACGATTTGCAAACGTCAGTTTTAATAAGTTGTCCATTCTGGCGACATCTTCTGATGACTCCATATCTGCTTAACATTTATACTTGAATTTGATGAATATGGTTAAACACAGTGTTTGTCATTAGATTCCACTGTAAAGTTTTTATGCTCCCAATATTTAAATGTTTCTCCACACTTGTAACAAGTGACGTAATCAACTACACCTTCATAAAAAAATCCGTAGCGGGTATTTTTTTTTTTTAAAGTTAAAATGCTGCGTATGGTTACAAAGCTGACCAGGCTGTGAGAGTAACTTGCTACGTATCAAGCGGTTATAATGTAGGTCGCGCACTGGTTTGACACAAACTCGACCTTCACATGGACGGTTTATTACATGGACCTATACTGGACCAATTCTATAGCATGGACCTTCCCCCCTTCCCTTGCTTTAACATTATCCCTATACTGGCCTTTCCTCCTTGCTTTAACATTAGCATGGACCTACACTGGACCAATTCTATAGCATGGACCTTCCCCCCTTCCCTTGCTTTAACATTATCACTATACCGGACTTTTCCCCCCTTGCTTTAACATTAGCATGGACCTACACTGGACCAATTCTATAGCATGGACCTAGACTGGACTTTTCCCCCTTGCTTTAACATTAACTGGACCTACATGGACCTACATGGACCTACATGGACCGTTTAATACTCCTAAAATACATCTACTGCTGATGAAGATTTTGTTGATTCCTTAAAATAAATTCTGGTAGAGACCCTCGATCTGAACTCGACTATAGATGAATGCTCCACTTTTTATCCAGTGTTTATACACATTTTTAACCCTTGTAATGGTTTCGAATGTGTATAAACAATTTAACACCATATAAAAGGTGTTGCTTTTATTTACTGATGTGTATATGCATATTTTATCAATCAAAATTATTACAATTAACATCATATAATTATATTATTCAAAATCCCGAAACCGAACCTGGTGAGCTAATAATGAACGTTTTACAACTGTAATGTAAAAGCGCTGTTATTGCAATTAAACAAAAAAATCGTATGTGCTTTAAACCTATATGAGATTTGTTTCTTTGTTTGCAGTATTATTGAATTGAATCGTTCCAAAATTACCTAGAGCTACCTGCAAATTTATGTTTCTTAGACTGACAACATCCGTTAATTACTAAACGATAAAGCTTATAGCGGGCCACTATCGCGGGCCAGCTTGACGTTATCTTAAACTCCTACTTTCAATTTCACATACTTCAATTTCCGATTAAGAAATACGAAACTGAGGTATCCGATTTAATGCTTTACCGTGCACCAATCGGGAACCGTCGGCACTTTCCGTAAACGAGAATTCTTGTTAACGGAAAGTGCCGACGGTTCCCGATTGACCGTGCACAGCTCCCGTTTATATAGTCTCGTTCAACCAGACGCTTGATCACTTGTAATTCAAGAGTGGTCAAACACAGGACTTTAAAATTACCATCTTCGTTTCCGGACGTTATGTCAACGCCATTATACATTTCAATGAATAATGAAATTAATGGAAAAAAACTTACCTATACAGTCATTCCTGAAATATCCGTGTATCCACTAATATGACTCAGGCATGGCCTGGAGAGAGCGAAGCACGTACTGTACATTTGTACATAATATTATATATTAATATTTTGATCCAAAAGAAACAAATGCCATTTGAAAAAATCATATAGTAAACATGATAATGAGAGTTGTAACGTTAGGCATAATGTTTAAACAAATGGTTTGAGCTGATATGCCAATCCATGAAGGATTATCTGTTTTTAATTTAAATGTGTTTAGCATGTTAGACATAGCAGGTTAGAAACTGTCACGTCTCCCATCGTATAAAATGAAGATTTTAGATTTCCTTTTTGATAATTTTGATAATCCATGTGAACTGATGAAATTTAATGTTTGTACTGATTATATAACTTAGAAATTCCTGGTATCTACAGCGGGAGATTCCTCCTTTTCATCGTCGCTGTTGTCATAATGTTTTGTGGATACCTAGAGTTAGATTGGCATATATCAGCCAAAAATATTTGTTTGCAAGTGAAGTTTCTGGATGGACACCATCGTAGCGTTTAAAGTTTATATTTATCTAAGTATTAAATAAGATATTTTACTGTACAAAATTGTACAGATAATGCTTGTCTTTTTCAAGTACTTGTTAATTTTGTTGCATTAGATGAAACTAGATTCAATCTATTGTACAAGCAGATCTAGGCATTGAAAGTCCAGTTTTAGTTGGAAAATCTAAAGGTTATATCACAAATTTGGATCAAATATCAACAGAAACGACTCCCAAATGGAAGAATTTAGAAAAATTATATAAAGTTGACGTTCTACAATAAATGCAGAGAAAAAAACAAGAGTAGTGATACTGAAAAATCTGCAATTTGACCCTTTGAAACACCCAACGTTTTCCCTTGGAAATCTGTCGGTCTCAATTCTTTGTAACTGGAGCAGACGACCCGTGAAATTATACCTCGTCAATGACCTGACCTTTTCATATCCAATGAGAACCAAGCGACCTCGTCGTTGACCCTGCTTTATACATGCTCGGGTATTTCCGTCCTAGTGGAAATGACCCTTGTGTGTCACGATCGATTATCAATATTTAGATGTTTAGAAAGTTGTCAGTATCAAATTATCTATTTCTTTACAAAATATAAGCTAATTTAATACAGTTTGTCATCTAATCACATTCTTAAGCACTCTTCGACGCCATTTGCTTGACATTCATGCTTTTTGATGATCATGCCAATCATTTCTCTTTTCGATACAAAAAGAAAGGAATCGTGGAAATAAACACGCCCAGTGCATTGAATATGGTCAATATTATTTTTTAATTCGTTGTTTCGAATACATAATTTTCCTGCTACGTTACATTTCGCTCTATTATTTGATTAGGCATATTTACGGGCTCCATGGACCGGATGTACGAAAAGTTTCTAGGCTGTAGCTGTACGATTCAGTGATGGAATCAGTTTGGTTAGATCAGATCTATTTACACGCACATGTTACCGGTAAAGAGATCCGCTCGTGTGCCTCCGGCACCCGAGGGCTTCGCTCTTATTATCGAGAACATTGTAAGAAAAGGTGCAAAATATCCAGAATAATGCCATATATTTCCACTGCATAAATCATAACTAAGCACAAAGCCAACAAGGCTTACTGAAGTTTGGAAAAAAAGCATGCAAAGCAAGTGAGATTTTACCTGTACACCATTCAAAACACCTTCAAGTTCTCACTCAGGTAATCTGGCCTGACTTGTATCAATAGCCTTGTTGAATTATTGTAAAATATCCAATGAAAATAAATGAAATCATTCTTTTTGAAGCATTTTCTTACATTTTTTCTGTTGATTCTCATACATCTGAATATGGAGAAGATTTCTGAAGCATTGTTCAACTGGGAATGGGGCAGGAATGCCAAATTTACAATTTGATAACCTCTTCCACCAATGATGATTCTAACATGTACTAAGTTTGATTTTGTCACTTGAGCCTTTGTTTCTTTATACTGTATGGTAAATATTCCTCCATCATTACTTGATTATTTTACCATATAAAGAAACAAGAAATTCACTAAAACCGATGGATTGTATGCTCCCCAAATAAGTCATTTGGGACCGGAATAAAGGTTGCATAATGCATGTATCTTTACCTGAAATTTACCATGCCTGGCACTTTTATTATTTCCGAGGTTACCCAAGAGGTATGCAACAAAGCTTGTCTTCCTTCTACATATCACTTACCTTTGGAGGTATAGTGGTTCAGAATTATTTGACCTTTGAACTTATTTAGACCTTTACCTTGACTATACAGACCCCATTGTGGTACTACATAATATACTGTCTCAGAATCTGACATATATAACTTATATTGAATTATCTTCATCAAATCAGAATTGCCCAGAAAAAAAAATTTGACATGTGACCTTGACCTTCAGGCATAAGGACCAAAAAGTGGTATGTAACACATTGCCTTACCATCCCACATACATGTACTTGTATATCACTAAAATTCCATTGCTCTCTTCAGCAAGTCAGGAGTTATGTCCCCAACATCTTTTTTTGGGAGCATAAAAAGAGAGAAAATAGTCCCAAATAATTCTATAGAATATCAATAGATAAAAGAACAGACTTCTGATTAACGTCACATAATTTATTGGTAAAAAAAGGTTTGCTACATTTACAATGAAAGAGTGAATATTGAAGTAATCATCAAATGATGACATCATAATCACTTTAGACAGCATCTATGCACAGTGGTGACTTTCCTCTGTGTTGTAAATTCACCAGCCTGCAAAATACAAGCATCACAATAACTTTAGCTTAATGATTTGATACATAATAGAAATTAATTTATGAAGTTTGTAGATCAATGCATTATTATAAAGATCATTCTAATGTTGGCAGTGCCCTCACAGCTACAGAATTTTAATAACTACAAATCTGGTTTCATATACAGCAGACAGAACAATCATGTACATATTCAGCTCTAGTTTATGGTAGCAGTGTACAGTAGAAATGGCCCGACTCTGATAAACAAGGCACATGTCGAGGAAATGTAAACACAGCGGATTTACCCTACACAACACATGTATACATGTATATATATTTGTAAACTGCATTACATTTACAATACATATAAAGTACTGAGAAGTGTATAAACCTCTTTTTTCTATGTATGTCACTTGTGTGAAAACCACGGTTACCACATCAAAAATTACCAAAAAATGCCAAAAATTGCTATTTTTAACCCAAAATTTGACCCCCGCAACTAAGAATTTTTTTCCCAAGCTCTGTCTGAAATTAAAGATTGCCTACCTGGTTGCAGATTTATCTGGGTCCCAGTAAAGTTGTAAAACTTGATTCTTTGCAATTTTGTGTCGTGTGCTGTCAAAATTTTACCTCCTGTAAAGCGAGCTTTTCATGTGTACGCACCCTTTCGTATTATGGCAAAAATGTTATTCTCGAACCAAAGAAATCTTCTTTCTTTTTCACAAATGTGAAGCTCACATAGCCCACTTATTCATGCTTATACCAATTTTAGTACAGTTTTATTTTTATATTTGTTTTTACATATCATTATACAGGGGTTAGCCATTTAACAAAATTATCACCCATGGCCACAACCCTCTACTGTATACTGCTACCTATGTATATGCAGTTAAATAAATAGATTGTAATATTCTTCTAAATCATTTACTACTAACTATAATGGCTATAAATCTGTATCAAATGAAAGTTTTGAAATGTCACTCTTAAGGCTTAGATAGGAATACACTTGATTAGATTTCAAGGAGTGAAAAACATACAACTATTATGATACCTATGCTAGCTATAGGTAAATTTCAATCCAAATGAAACTGATAGTGAATGCATGTATGTCAAAATTGTACATAGAACTTGAAAGTTGTAATAAGGCATTGAATTCTCAACACAATAACATCAACTCTACAACACTGATATACCATCAAATAAGGTGCATTTCCATCAAAGTAGCATATAACATTCCAAATCTATAATGAGTAAACATACATTTCACATATTACACATATATATATACCATCACATACAAGTATTATACACACACATACTATCATACACAGTTATTATACACATACATATTATCATACACAGTTATTGTACACATACATATTATCATACACAGTTATTGTACACATACATATTATCATACACAGTTATTGTACACATACATATTATCATACACAGTTATTGTACACATACATATTATCATACACAGTTATTGTACACATACATATTATCATACACAGTTATTATACACATACATATTATCATACACAGTTATTATACGCATACATTCTATCATTCACAGTTATTATACACATACATACTATCCCACACAGGTATTATACACATACATATTATCACACAGTTATTATACAGATACATACTATTACACACAGTTATTACACATACATACTATTACACACAGTTATTATAATTACACACAGGTATTACACACATACATACTATTACACACAGTTTATACACATACATACTAACACACAGTTATTATACACATACATACTACCACACAGTTATTATACACATACATACTATAACAAACTGTTATTAATCACATACATACTATCACAGTTATTATACAGATACACACTATTACACACCTTTATTATACACATACATACTCTTACACACCTTTATTATACACATACATACTACTACACACAGGTATTACACACATACATACTATTACACACCTTAATTATACACATACAAACTATTACACACAGTTATTATACACATACAATCTATAACATACATACTATCACACACCGGTATTATACACATACATACTATCACACACAGGAATTATACACATACATACGATCACACAGTTATTATACACATACATACTATAACACACTGTTATTATACACATACATACTATCACACAGTTATTATACACATACATACTATCATACACAGTTCTTATACACATACATACTATCACAGTTATTATACACATACATACTATTACACACACTTATTACCCACATACATACTACCACACAGTTATTATACACATACATACTATTACACACAGGTATTACACACATACATACTATTACACACCTTAATTATACACATACGTACTATTACACACAGTTATTATACACATACAAACTATAACACTATTACACACCTTTATTATACACATACATACTCTTACACACCTTTATTATACACATACATACTACTACACACAGGTATTACACACATACATACTATTACACACAGTTATTATACCCATACATACTACCACACAGTTATTATACACATACATACTATCACAGTTATTATACACATACATACTATCATACACAGTTATTATACACATACATATTATCATACACAGTTATTATACACATACATTCTAATACACACAGTTATTATACTCATACATACTATTACACAAAGTTATTATACACATACATACTATTACACACCTTTATTTTACACATACATACTATTACACACAGGTATTACACACATACATACTATTACACACAGTTTATACACATACATACTAACACACAGTTATTATACACATACATACTATTACACACACTTATTACCCACATACATACTACCACACAGTTATTATACACATACATACTATCATACACAGTTACACATACATACTATTACACACAGGTATTACACACATACATACTATTACACACCTTAATTATACACATACGTACTATTACACACAGTTATTATACACATAAATACTATCACACAATTATTATACACATACATACTATCACAGTTATCATACAGATACATACTATAACACACAGTTATTATACACATACATACTACCACACAGTTATTATACACATACATACTATCATACACAGTTATTATACAGATACATACTATCACAGTTATTATACACATACATACTATCCCACACAGGTATTATACACATACATATTATCACACAGTTATTATACAGATACATACTATTACACACAGTTATAATACACATACATACTATTATACACAGTTATTATACACATACATTCTAATACACACAGTTATTATACTCATACATACTATTACACACCTTTATTATACACATACATACTATTACACACCTTTATTATACACATACATACTATCACACACAGGTATTATACACATACATACTATTACACACAGTTATTATACACATAAATACTATCACACAATTATTATACACATACATACTATCACAGTTATTATACACATACATACTATCACAGTTATTATACACATACATACTATTACACACAGTTATTATACACATACATACTATCATACACAGTTATTATACAGATACATAATAATAATAATATACAACATTTGATATAGCGCCCTATCTAGCTAACATAAGCCACTCTAAAGCGCTTTACAGTACATAGATATTCAATTTTATACAGTCAATACAATAAGCAAATATATATAACTCAATTCAATATTGAGGAATTCGCAGGAGTTGCCTTATCAGGCGCTAACTACTAGTCCTATGCCACCTGGCTTATATCTCCGTATGTGTGTATGCCTGTGTGTGTGCTGGGGATGTATTGTGTTCTGTTTGTAGTGGGACCGTGCTTCCAACGGTATCATTTGTAGTGCCACATCACTTGAATGCTACAGCACAGATACCGCAACACCCACCCAAGACCATTTTATACTCCACCTGGGTTGTTGGAGTTGTGTGGGCAGGAGAAAAACACTTTCTCAAATATTCCATGCGTACGGCGAATTCGGGGATCGAACCCCGGCCGCCTGCTTGGAAGGCCGGAGTGTTAACCACTCGACCAATCCTCCCATAACACATACATACTATTATAGTTATTATACAGATACATACTATTACACACAGTTATTATACACATACATACTATCACACACAGGTATTATACACATACATACTATTACACACAGTTATTATACACATACAAACTATAACACACTGTTATTGTACACAAACATACTATTACAGTTATTATACAGATACATACTATTACACACAGGTATTACACACATACATACTATTACACACAGTTATTATACACATACTATCTATCTATCTATATATTCTGCATCACCCTCTTTCGAGTATTATACAGATACATACTATTATACACAGTTAGTATACACATACATACTATCACCCACAGTAATTATACACATGTATATAAACTATCACATACAGGTATAACACATGAATATACTATCACACTAAAGTTTGTTACACAAACATACTACATGCATGTATCGCACACAGGTATTAGACACATACTTACTATCACAGACAATTATAACACATATACTTACTATCAGTATCACACATGTACACACTATCACAGAAAGGTATTACACATGTGCACACTATCACAGACAAGTATTACATATGTACACACTATCACAGACAATTATTACACATGTGCACTCTATCACAGACATGTATTACACATGCACACACTATCACAGACAGGTATTACACATGTACATATGATCAAAGACAGGTATTACACATGTATATACAATCACGGACATGTTAACACAAGTACAGTACATACTAAGTACACTTTTATACATGTTCTCTTATCTCTTTATTTACACATTATATAACTTAATATCTTAGTAATAAAATTATTTCTTCTCTTGTCAAGATATATAGGATACATAATATATACTGTCAATGAAAAGAAGTCATCCAAAAGGCTTGTATCACCAACCTTCATTTTTTAAATGCAATCATTGCAAAATACTTTCATCAATAGTTCTATTAAAGCTATCTTTAGCATTGCTTCTCAGTAGCAAGTTGGAGCTACACCTCTCATTATTTATTTATTTACCTGGTCTGAAGGTACAATGTGAGTTTATGCCTGGTGTCTCAACTTCAATATATTTTTTAATGAGGAGATACAGGCCCTCTTGGCCTCTTGCATAACATCTAAAACTCCCAGGTCTAAGGATGCATCTTTCAAAGTACATTTGGTTGAAATACAAAAGTGAACTTGACTTACTGTCAAGGTGACAGATGTCAAATAGGTCAAAAAAATCAAATAACTTCTGAAGAAATGAAAGTCCTAAAATCATGATATTTGGCTGTTTAAGCTCCCTTGGATGGAGCTTGAAAAGGTTTGCTTACAAAAATTACCTTCAGTTATATTTGAGGTCACAGGGGTCAAATATTTCAAAACTTCAAACAACTTCTTTTAGGGAACCCATACCCTTCATATCAAGGGTATGGTATTTCACAGGTTTTAAATTGAAATAAATTTATATGAACTATTCATGATCAGTCCTCTTGTAAAAAGTTGATTTCAGAGTATATGTATATATAGAACACATATTTAAGTATGTAAAGAGTAGTTGTCTGCAAAGTTTATTATGATAGGTAATATGTATACACTAAACAGTGTATATATACATTGCACACTTAAAGAGTAATACAGAGTAATATTTACATTATTCTGAAGTTGGACTAAACATAAATGTAAAAGATGTGCATTGATAAGGTTGCCTTACAAGTGTCAGCTGTAGGGAATTTCCTTTTAGGTCAACGGAAGAGCATTGGGCCGGAGAGCCAAAGTTCGTTGGTTCGAGCCCCAGCGACAGCAATAACTTTATCACTATCCATCGTCCTACTACATAATAATCTACTTAAGGGTCTGTGGTTTATTTTTCTATAAACTTTACAGTTGGCATACATGTATGAGTAAGACAGAAAATGTGTGCAGATGCATACCTTCTTTCAAATTCTTTTTTTTTCTTCAAAAGTTTCAGTTTGAAATATATGTGTTTATATTTTGTATTATTCTAAAGTTGTAATTTATACATAACATATATTTGTCTTACTTAACAATGCCACACAATGAGTAAGACACTTGCACAAGACACTATGTAACAAATCATGAAAACCATACTAATTATATATTAAAACAAGTTCTGTTCTGTTGAATTGATAGGGTAAATTTAACTTCAATTGGCTTTAAGACAAGTTAAATGTGAAGAAGTATTTAATAACTCATTATGTCTCAAGACCCATTGATTTATATCTCATATATACCTCGCCAGACCATGTACAGGACTTTATTCTTAAAAAGAAACAAATAGTATACAGAATATGACAGTAATGTAAAACAAGTAAGTTACAGTGATAAACCATTCGTTCTTGTAACTGCTATTAGCATGTTTTATTGCTAGGTGCATTTTAGTACAACGAAGTAAACTTGCCTACTGTAGATGTGTGTTAAAGTACGATGAACGCACGTGTGAAACCTGTCTGTAATAGTAAATGCAAGTGTAATACCTGTCTGTGATAGTAAATGCAAGTGTAATATCTGTCTGTGATAATAAATACAAGCGTAATACCTGTCTGTGGTACTAAATACAAGTGTAATACCTGTCTGTGATACTATAAATACAAGTAAAGTCAAGAAGCTTTATTTAACGTCGCATATACATATGTAACATAATAACATTAGTTGTAGTGCTATTCTTGCGACAAAACATATATAAAATTTAACAAGGATCATGTTTTGTCGTAAGAATAGCACTACAGTGCTAATGTTATTATGGTTCATGTCTGTAATAGTAAATACAAGTGAAGTATCTATCTGAGATAATAAATGTAAGTGTATTACAGATAAACACATGTAAAGTGTTCTACTTTTGTTTTCAAATAAATGCAGCACAATAAGAGAATATTCTCAATTACCAAATGCTTTCACTTCAATATACATAATCATTAAGAGTTTTACCTGTTTGACTCATAATTTTCTTCATTTAAAGCGCAATAGATGAACTGCAGCAGGTAATCGGAGCAAGTAACCACCCTTCAAGGCTTCATGTCAAGTGTAACGTTCCGGGGTCCGTACCCTAGTCACTTCTAAGGATCCCTGTGCTGTAAGCTTAATTATAACTATACTACAGTTGCAAATATATACAAATATGTGTTACTACCTTGTAACCAGCATACCTATTACCTGATGCTTAATACATGATATGAACAGAATAATTACTGCACGACTATAGAACTATTACCAAAGCTATCTGCTCTGTATCAATATAACACACTACACCGTACAATCCAGGCAGTACACAACTCGACTACCTAGTCGCGGCTAGCCCTAGTCACTATAGTTGCCCTATAGTCAGTTACCTAGCTATATGACCTAGTCCCGCCGATCACGACAGCCTTATACTAGTATACAACTACAGCACTCTCTAATGACCACGACTATCCCTAGTCACGACTAGCTCTAACGACTATTCCTAGTCACGACTAGCCTGGTCGCGACTACCCCTAGTCACGACTAGCACCAACGACTATACCTAGTCACGACTAGCCTGGTCGCGACTAGCACTGCACAGCCTATGCCCGTGACACCTTCTGTCTAACGGTATCTCGCTACAGCACTCAATCGTTTATTTAATATATCTTCCATGCAGTGTGTGGATCAAGGCAAGACTTATTCAGTCACTTCTATCTTTCCAACACAAAGCCGGTCTCACATATATTAGGTACTTACGATAGCCACTGCTGTACACACGCCGAGATCAAAAACAGAACTGGGCCGATTGTCGCTGGATTCTGCCTATTTATACCCTCTTGCTATCCTAGCGGCACCTAGCGGTGAGTGAGGTATAATCACCTGTACGTTTTGATTGTACCTCGAAAACTATCTGTCTTCTAAGCGTTCGAATTACGGAGACATAACACAAATGATTAACGCCAACAGATCAACGTATCTAACCTGAATAATATGCTAAATCAGCGAAGGTAGGATTTCGATATGTACATTCATCACACAAGTACCATAACGCATTCGGAAACTTTTTCCCGTTCGGAACACAAAATACGAAACTAAAAATGCTGAATTAAAATTACAGAGGTGCAATGTGCCACATTCGAATTACAAGAGTCCGGCAAACGGTAGTCTCGTTCAACCGGACTCTTGTTGCCTGCGCAAACTACGCTAGTCTCGTTCAACCAGACTCAAGCTACGCCGAATATTGAATTACAAGTGATCAAGCGTCTGGTTGAACGAGACTAGGCAAACGGCAGCTGTGAAAACTAGCTTTGCGCACAAACTGTTTCGTATTTTTCTACCGCAAGTGTAATTGACACCAATATAAAATATTATCAATAAGTTAAGTTGATGTATTTAAATATTAATTATTATATTGACGCATATATTTTAAAAGATTGGTATTAGGAAGCACACATTACTATATACTAAAATGGCTGGAATAATCCCGAGAAAATGTCTGTGAAGTTGCTGGGTTTGATTATTCAAATGACCAGTGGTTTTTGTTGGCCAAAAAGTAAAAGGGTCAGAAACAGTTCTTATTGGTGAGAATCACTGTCATTTGTTAATCTGTTGCACGTCATTTTCAACATGAATGAGACAAATGAAAGTAGTTTGCTGAGGATTTATATGGTGAGGGTGCAGCTGTAATGATGCCAAAGTCGGTAAGAGCGCAGAATTATTGTCATAATCAGTCACCACATATTCAAATATAAAGTGAGATTTTAAAACTCATCTTGATTTATGTTAATTTTCGTACACAGCCTCGTTGAAGAATTCTAGTTTGGTTTGATTTGGGGGGGGGNGGTAAAGTATATGTACAACTGTTCAGTGTTCCTCCAAACCAATCAAATTAGTTAACCTCCCCTCACCCACTCCAAGTAGTTGGTTTAGATTGTGTCCCATTTTTCAAAGACTCTTATATGTTAATTGAGACCTGGTGGTAAAGAATCTTGCAATCTACCAGATATAATCAAATCAAAAGATTATTTGTAATGAAATACAATTTATCATACCCAGAACATTAACTGCTTATTTTTACATTTGATATAACTTGACCTCTCTAGGTTAATTTTAAGTCCAAGAAAAAATTCACAATAAAATATATTTTACAGGCAATTTTTTATCAAGAATATTGTATGTGTACATATCGCTATTAATGTCTTATATTTCAATTCCTTTTCCGAATGAATTTTATCACACAGAGGAGCATATGGTAACTGGACTTTTCCCCCAAAGTTTGAAGCAGATTCCAAGAGAAATATTGAGTTTACTAATACATGAGCAAGATACTTTACTCCGCTTGTTCCAGTCTACTCAGTTGTAAATGAGTATGCGGTTGGGTAGTGCTAGAAATGTAGAATGCTAGCTGTGAGTGCCGAAATGGCAGCACCGGCTGTAGATGTCATTTTTTTATACGGTAAGTAATTTTTTAAGTTGTTATTCATCCGCCAATAAGCCCATGCCTGGTAATAAGCCCACCCATGTCTGTTACAATTCAGTAGAAATGCCAACACATGGTATTTCATTGTCCTGCAAAAGCCCCCCCCCCCCCCCCCCCCCCNTGTATGCAATTGTTAAGTGCATTTAGGCTGTAGGAATTGAATATTTAGCTGCATTCATATTTTACATGAAAGTTGGGTAACTGAAACACATTATTTGCATATTTATCATTTCCCTGCACTGAAGTTGAAGGGATATATATTATTATGGGAGGGAGCTTTAAGTTTATTCATTTAAGTTACCTGGAACTGTAAATGGGGCCCAGGGACTAGCAATGGGGTCATGCCCAGGGTCATGCAAAAGCAAAAATAATTAATATTACCAATTCTAGCAGGAATGGAATGGACTAGAAATTAAAAATCAATCAAAATCATTTGGGGATTATAAGGATAATATCATGGATATTAAGATTTAAAAATATTCTTTAAGATAACAGGAATGTGATTTAGATATACATGAATTAAGAAAACATGTTTTTATACCAGTATACTTCCTGGTATATATAAATGATTATAACTATTTCACAACTCAAAGTTGAAGGATTTTCACATTTTAAAATGCTTGTAATTTCTTGCACTGTTCAGTGGTGAAATAAAAGTCTACATTTGTATTGAATTATGTACAATTGTATTCGAGTACACTTCTTTTTCACTGAAGTATATATATATGGGGCAAAGAAGTAATTCCAACAGTGTGGATAAGTTTAGGTTGTCAAATTTTCGGAGCGATCCGCTCCTTTTTCAAGACACAGTGAAACAGAACAGTTACATGGACATATACATCATATTACAAGAGGATATAATTGATATACTATAATTGAAAATATAGCTATTATATAAAACCAATAGTCCCCTCGGCTAAAGACAGCCGAAGGCAGCAATTAAGCTGAGAGCATCGCGGACAAGGAACGCTGATGTAGAGGACCTATTCTTGCGCAAGATGCAATATATATATATTGATTTGATTAAATTTCATTTTCAAAAAATTGAAGCAGATTCTAGCATCTGAGTCACAGCCAAACTTGAACATGTTACACCAGTACTTTGTTTCCTTCCCCGTGCAAAATGAGCATGAAGATCATCTTTGTGGAGAAGTAAGTCTTAACAGGTGGTATCAACAGGTTATTCAAGATTTATTTGGTGAATTCACTGAATATCAAGACTTGTTTCTTCACTAGCTGTTCGTTGACCACTAATTAGAATTAAGATATACTGTGCTGACCTGCTTCCCTTATTAATGTTGGGGACACTTTAACTTAGTAATAATCAACACCTGACTTGTTGAGATGACAAAGGTAAAGCTCAAAGACCCAAGAAACCAATGTTTCAGTACAATCATTCAGTAAAATCATCCATTGCCTCAGCAAACTGTTGTCCTGGCTCTAACATTTATACCGTTAAAGATAATTAGATATTTTGATGAAAGCTAAAGTATACCTGCATCACCTATCAGAAAGTGATCGACATTGCAATGTATTTATGTTACTGTAACCTTGACCTCAATTTCTTACTGTTCTGAAATGCCTTAAAATATATCACAACCGATCTTTTGTTCAATCATTGCTGCAAGTGAGAAATCAGCACTTGTCTTACTTATTCCGCTTATCTTTGTAACAGTCTGCCAGTATGGTTCAACCCCTAGATGACCGGTTGAAAAATCACTTGAGGACCATGGTGTGGGAATATAATATATCAAGTGGTCCTCAAATGCGGATTCCTTTGGGGGTTCACCTGAAGGAGTCTCTTTTTAAGGGCGAGGAGATTCCCCCAAAGACCAACAAGAGGTTCTGGCCATCAAAAAGGGATTAACAAAACCACATTGCCTTTGCTATAAAAAAAACACAGAGAAATAGCAATTGCGACCAAGTAAGATTTATAGTGACAACCTTCCCCACATGACCAGAGAGCAGTGTTTTAGATTTTGGTCCCACAATCAGGAGCCTGAATAGTTTTCAAAAAACATAACAGCACTTCTTTATTGTCAATTAATGATAAAACTGTCTTTCAGGTGTTTTATTGAATGCTAAAGTTCAGTAGGAGTATAAGAGTATTTGGAATGGAACGTCAAGCCAATAAAAGTATTCCATCAAGCGCAAGTCTCCATTATTTTCTGGTCCCTTATGTGTCTTGGTCTCTGTACACAAGTTTGACTCTGCATCAGCTATTATTAGTTTTCTGAACTTAAATATTTCACAATGGTTTCTTTTTGATTCCAATATTTAATTGTTTTTCTTGACAGGAAATAGTAGCAGAATTAGTTCAAAAATGGAGAGGTGAAACCACAGACAGGTTCTTCTTGAGAATTAAGGACAGAAGTGGTGATCCTGAAGACTGTGATGTTGGTGGGTATCCGTGTTATTCATTTAAAAAAAAACATTATTTGAATTAAAAATCAATCGATCACTGTGAGAAGATTTTAAAATAAGATACTTTTTGACCAACCTTGACTATGAATGCAAACTTAGACGAATGCCAACTGGAAATAACAAACTCAACAACAGCGCTTCATGGAATTTGTAATTTCCAGTTGGCATTCGTACTGGCTATGAATGCCATATCAAAGCAGTTAAATACTTCTTTACCATTTTTGCAGTATTGCAGTATTTTGATCTCATAGAATTTGAAATAAAATCTGTCCATTAAAGTCATTATATATAGTTCTAATTAATATATGTATCATGTATGCTTGTTCAATGAATAGAACAGTCATCCTCCAGGGAGAGTCAGCGGTATCCAATGTCACCATTATGATGTAATAATAATGATGACCTCAACAATTGGGTGATGGCATTCATAGCTGAATTTGGTAGCATTGTCATACGATGGTAAAAATATATATAAAAATTGAATCTTTCATTTTCTTTTGTTTTAGATATTGGTGGTCTTGAAAACCTTGATGATGATGAAGAAGTTGATGACGACGTGTTGCTGAGACGTGATGTTGTGAAGCAGCTGTATGGCAAGGAGAAGAGGTTCCTGTATGTCCACCAGACAGAGTGGCAATCCAGACTTCTCCTTAGATATGGCCAGGAAATATCCCGTCTTGATGCCACATATCGGACCACACGCTATTCTCTTCCTCTGTATTTTCTCTGTGTACCAACAAATATTGGTTGCATTACTGAGACAGAGGATGGAGATTCAATTTAGGAGGCTCTCAACATTCTGAAACAGTATAATAAAAACTGGTCACCACAATTTTTCATGTGCGACAATGCAGAGGAAGAGATTAATGCCTTGGAAAGTGTGTTCCCTGGTAATTATCACCTAAATTAAAAAAATAAATTGTTAAAACTTTTGAAAATGCTTGTTAAGTTGTCAATTTAGACTAGTGGCTGCATGGTCATATAGATATGATTGCTGTAATTATGATATTATAATTGTGAATAATATGTTAAAAGTTTGTATACCAAGTGAAATATATATAAAAAGTAGTTTAAAATTAGTTTTCCATTTAGTTTTGTTCTTTCAAACATTAGGAACATTTTGCATATTATGTAAATAGTGCCCATGGTAAATGACAATTGTAAATGTTATTAAGTAATGCAATTTAACATCAATAGAAAACATTGTTTCTGATTTTTTTCCCTATTCTTTATCCACAGATTCTTTTGTATACCTCTGTGATTTCCATCGTGAGCAGAGCTGGGATAGGTGGCTGAGTGCTTCTCACAATGGGATGACCACTCAGAAAGCTGATGGTCTGAAGCTACTCAGAGGGATTGCTAAAGCCATGTCTGAAGAGGAATTCCTTGCATCCTTAACAATTTTGAAGGTATTATTAATTCAGGTGGTATATAAAGAGAGTGTTCCCTAGTTGCTATGAGTTATCCTACATATTAATAACAAAACGACTGAAGTGTTTTAATTCATAGTTAGGAGATTTTGGTCAATTTTAATACAAAAGTGTTAATTTTGTGTTGCATTTTTGATATTCAACAATTTGATGCATTGTGATAATTGCCATTTTTTTAGATATCCAGTATCAACTAGTATTAACTATAACTGGGAATGTCATGACCCATATGCATGCTATTTTTGACCAAAAAGTATGAATGTCCTGTAAGAAACCAATTATCATTTGTTTTAAGCTAATACCAGGCTTTGTCAACTATATGAAGGTGATATTTCCCTTAGCCAGCTCGGCTTTCAGAGAATATCGCCTTCTCTGTTTGACAATTTCTTGTATTAACCTAAATTAGGTAAATGATTGTAAAATGTTCAATTCTCCATGTTATCTTTTTAGTTTTTCATACAACAATTTGCTTTCAAACATATTTTACTTAAAATGTGATATTATTATTATATCAGCAAAGTTCTGTGTGGGCCAAAAGTCAAAGACTACAAAACTGGCTAGGGAAGAAGTGGCTCAAGAGCTCTAAGGTAAGATAGTGGTAAAAATGGTTGTCAAAAGTAATAAAATAATACTAGTTGTACTTTACAAAAATAGAATTTAGGTTCTACTGTTTTTGCAAGAGCTATTGCCCTTTGTTTATTTCAACATTTAAATCTTGTCGACAGGCATAATTGCATTCATCTGCGGTGCTCTTGCATTCATATACTGTTATAAACTGATACTATACAGTTACATTAAGTGTCCTTTAATCTTTTCAATTTCATGAATATATGCAGTGGAAGAGAGTGAAACTATTGCTTTAATTTGATCACCTTTTACTTGGTCTTGTAGCGATGAGTGCGAGCTTTTCGACTGGAACGTTTTAATGTATCCATTAACACCAATAATGGCATTGAACGACAGAACTTGGCCTTAAAGTACGAGTTCTTGGACATGAAGAAGGCTCGGTCCCTGAGTCAACTCCTAACCATCTTGGTAAACAAGTACTTGCCAGACGCCTACACCAGGTATGATACTTAGAACAAAAATTTCATGGATTATAAATTCACAATCTAGACGATTAGGGTCCATTGCTGCCTTCATAATTACTCAATGGCATAAATATGGTTGTCTCCGGAGTAAAATGTTCAAGTTCGTTGGATAGCAAGAAACACAGATACATTACAGTGTCTGTCCTTTCATCCTTAGATCTATATTGTCCAAGTTCCAAAAGTACTTATGCAAATAATTTTGTGAAACTTGCTTGACAATTTTACCATCATGAAAGAAAGATTGTTTTGGTCATGTAAATATTAACTAATTATGTAACTTTTATGATTTTCATTCCTTTGGAATATTTTTATGACTTAACGGGCAGAAGATATTTTACCTATGATACATGTTTATTTTAAACTACCATTACAAGAGGAGTACCTGGTGTCATCAGTCATGTAATAAAATGAGTTGTATGATTTACTGCAGGTACAAAAGGAAAAACATAGAGTCCTCCCATTTGTACAGAAAGTACGATGAGTCCATTCCCGACTTTCTTCACAACCGACCAAAGTTTGTTGTACAACTTTGTTTGAAGAGATGGCTGGATGGGCAGAACATACCCGGGAACTATGTAGATAAACTCAGCGACAATACATTCCTGGTGAAGAGTTCTGCAGAAAGAGGACGATTCTTTGAAGTCTGCCTTCAAACTTCAGACAACAGCCTCTCGTCATGTCAGTGTATGGACTGGAACAACTAGCATTTGCCATGTCACCTAACCACTGGATGGAATGCTTTGCCAGATGCCTACAAAACTAGTCCATTCCTAACCTTGGATGTGGAGACATTTCCTTCACAATGACTGACAACAGCTGACGCTGACATCAACAATGACCAGGACGTCATCATGATTGACAGTTCCTGTGAAGATCTACCTCTTTCAAAAGCAGCGATGTTGAAAAGGGCCAGGACACATATTTCTGGAATTCTTGAAATAATCAAAGGATTTGCATACCAAGTCAAAGACGTTGATGTCCTCAACAACACAGCCACCAAATTGATGGATGTAATGTCTTCTGTTAAGGCTGCGGCACCTCAGGAGGATGGAATTGTTGTTGATAAAGAGTCCAACATGTGTCATATTGCAACAACAAGACTGAAAAAGACACCAAGGTCACTCAAATTAAGGAAAAGAAGATTAGTAGCCTCCAAACGACATGGTGTTGGTGCTGAAAAGAGGAGACAGTACCATACACGGAAAGGTGTTGAAGATCTGCTTGTTTAGTAACATGCAAAGAAAGAAATAATTAAGCACTCAACTTTTAGCGCATTGTTAGAATTAAACAAAATGAGTGTGTTTGAAATCCAGTTCGGAGTTACTGAGCACTCTAAATGTAAATAATGCCGATAATCATATTGGGAATAATTACATAGTTAGAGTGGTACAGCTAAAATAATCTGTTCCTGATCTTTTTCATTTCACTTCAAATAATACTCGATTTTTTTATTAATTTTTACACAAATAAATGTAAATATATTTAATAGCACATCATGTCTTCTTTTTTTGAATTTAAAAACAAGTTTTTTTATTTGGAGGGGTTTCATGTGAAAACATGATAATTACTGAAGAAGGGGTTGACCTTTTGACTGAATTACACACTGGAGGTTAGTCAGATTACCGAGGGGAATATAGGTGCACTCTGTCCATCCTTTCGCAGAATTCCGCTCATCCATCCCAAACATTTGTTCAGGGCTTTTCTCCTATACAATTTCACCTAGAGTAACTAGATTTTGTATGCAGCTACATCTTAGAATGACGGAGCACAGAGTAGCAGAAGTAGGTCACTGTGACCAATGCTCTGACCTTTGAAAACATTTGTCCAGAGCATATCTCCTATTCTATTTCAACAGGATTAACTAAATATTGTATGCAGGTACAGTAGATATTATGATGGCGGAGTACGGAGTACCAGAAGTAGATCACTATGATGTATATGTATGCTTTGACTTTTGACCTCAATCATTGAAAAGGTACTGGTGGGGAACTATGGATTGCTCTGCGTTTAAAACTTTCATATTTGTTTACATTTCATGTAATATATGTATTAAAGATGTCCTTTAATTTAGTCTTACAATACATTTTGTAGATCCACAGTGTAATGAATCAACAACAAAGTCTACAATGCTGCTTGAAAAATTCAAAGGTACGTTGTATTTTAAAATATAATTGTCGATAATGTTTTAATTAGAGGAGTATATAATAGTAAAGATATTTATTAGGGAAGCACAAATTATTCAGTTAGCAACTTGATATTAAAGCTGATATAAACGTGTATGTATATATCATTAAAGCATTCCACATCATTCCATTAAGCGTTACATCTGTTGAATAGTAAATCACAGTAAACAATAAAGTAAACAGAATGTTGTTTTAAATTATAAAACCAGGTGAAGTGTAACTGTTATATTACTTTATGGCAATCATTATAATGTTACAACACGTAGATCTGATTTTCTAGGACTGGTGGAAATAAAGAGTGGTTAGTAATATAATAGGGGTGTTGACATAACTTCCTGATAGATTTTATCTAAAACATGTCATATTATATTCTTATCAGACCATGAGATCATGTTGTTCCTATTATTTTTGTTGTTTCACAGGCTTTGTGTCAACTTTGACAGCAGCAACTCTTGAAAGATATACCATGAGTGCATCTTTATTAAGTTCCTGCGATTTGAATATGGCAAACAGGATTGGGGGTGTAGTCTTGTCAGAATACTGTGATTCTGGTATGGATACTGCAGATCTTCTCATGTCACTCCGATCCGCACTGCCACCTACATAATTACAGTTACCTGATGAAGTCATATTCATCCTGGTCTGCCTCATTCTGGATCAAATGGGTTTGTAAATCCTCAAAATACTTAAATTCATTTATTTGCAATTAGCTAGGAAATCATTGAACACATTTGACATACATATTGACATTTAAGTTGAAGGTAACATTTCAAAATACTATTTTCATGTTACCTAAGTAAAATGGTTAAGTGACCTATTGCCATCTGTCTTCGTCTACCATCGTCTGTTAACAATTGATATATATTTGAAATTTTCTCAATAACCATGAGGTCGTATTTGGCCAGTAGGTAGCTAGAATGGATCTCTATCAAATTTGTTCAAATAAATTACCTTGACCTTCATTCAAGGTTACAGGGGTCAAATATAATAAAAACCGCAATTCAGACATTTTCTCGAGAATTTATAAGACCTAGGGTCATGATATTTGACCAGTAGGTGCT